AAACACTTATGGGAGGTGCAGAAGACCATCTGACAAGCAACATTCACGTGACCAAGTGTAAATGGCATCATCCCCAACCAAGGAGTTGAGGCACATTTCAAATCCACAAACAAGTAGTCCTGTGACATTTCTATTAGTGTAGAAGTAAATAAACACAGTAGAATCAAACTCAGGAAGAGATGAAAAGTATATTGTAGGGTGACCCCTCTCCTCCCTATTAAACATACACATGCAGGCAGGCAAAAAGTATAAATACAGCTTCTGGTATTTATTATAGTCAGCTACTCAGCTTTGAGATCTTTGAATAAAATGTCACAACCTTCTCACTGTTGTTTTGGTTTGCCTTTTGAGTGGATCATCAAATCATATAAATGAACAGAAACGTGCCATTAAAAGCTGGTCACCTCTATACGAAAGCACTTTCTATATAATTTTATATTGTGACTGGGTGCCAGTTATAAAAAGGGGACACTTGACTAGCCTCTACCAATCTTTGTTTCTCTATTGTGCAAGACCTACGCAGGAACCAGAGTTGGCCCAGAGGTGACATTGTTTTCTCCCCTTGGCGGAACACAACCAACTCAGAAACAAGCAAAGAAACAAAATCAAACCTCCCAAACAAGCAGTAACAATAGCAAAAAGTCAAGCAGCAGTCTGGCCTCCTCCTGGCATGCATAACATAACTAGTTATGTGCTTCTGTACTAGTTAAGTCACACTGATAATTCATGTTAGATTTGTAGTCCATTAACCAAATTACAGAATCTTGGAGGTGGTAGCACCCCGAAGGTCATCCAATCCAAGCCACACTTCAACAAGAATCTAATCTACATCATTGATGAGGGAAATCCAGTCATCACTCAGAGACCTACAGTGGCAGGGAACTCTCTTCCTGAGGCAGCTCCTTCCATTTGAAGACCATTTTAATCAGGCAGTTCTTCCTTATTCTGAGTTAAAATTCATTTCACCTTTAGATACTACCCTTAGTTCTTTCCTCTGAGGCAAAGCAGAATAAATGTTGTCCTTCTATGTGACTACCCTTCAAACAACTGAAGAAGGGGTTCATGTCTCTCTCTCCCCTCCTGTGTCTCAGTTATCCATGGTAAGCATCCTTGGATTCTTTAATTTTTTTCATTTTTTTCAATTTTTTTTATTTTTTTATTTTTTTTTATCCTTGGATTCTTTAGCTGAACTTTATATGTTCTCATTTCCAATCCCTTCATCTTCCTGATCATCCCAGTAATCTGAATATGATCTAGTTGTAAATGGCCTTCTCAAAATATGACACTTCTAACACAGTATTCTAAATGTGGCTTGACCAGAACAGAGGATGATAAAACTATCTTCTCCTTCATTTTTGGACTTGAAAAATATTCTTAGGGACAGCTAGGTGACACAGGGATAGAGCACCAGCCCTGGAGTCAGGAGGACCAAAGTTCAAATCCTGCCTCTGACCAGACACTTGACACTTACTAGCTGTGTGACCCTGGGCAAGTCACTTAACCCCAATTACCTAATACACACACACACACACACACACAACACACACACACACACACACACACAACACATATATATATATATATATATACACACACACATTATATATAATATATATATAATGTGTATATATATATACATGTGTGTATATGTATGTGTATATATGTATGTATACACACACACATTACATATATATTTTCAAGTATATATATTTTTGTAACTCCACTATATCTAATGTTTCTAGTATATATATTTTTGTAACTCCAATATATCTAATACTATATGATATGTGCTTCAGGAGACACAAAAAAGTGTATTTTAATTCAAATAAATGTTCATTAAATGCTTGTCATATACAAAGTAGCATAGATAAATAGATGAAAAACACAGTCCCAGACCTCAAGGAGCTCTCGGTCTCAGTGGGATAGAGGGCGAGAGAGCAAGAGATTTATATGTATGCACACATACACACACATATAAAACATATACATGTATATGACAAGTATGAGAATTTAAAGTATAGAATGTGATAAATTAATTATTAATAATTAATATTAATGATAATATTATTATCATTAATATTAATTATTTAAAAAGCTTAGTATGTCCTAAGAACTATGCTAAGAGGTGTTCATACAAATAGAAAAAAATAAGTCAGTCTCTGTTCTCAATGCTGTTACATTCTAATGGGATAAGATAAAATAAATGATAGCCAAGGAAAGGTGACCTGGACTGAGAAGGCCACAGGATCTGTGAATGGAATTATAGGACAATTGATTAACACATCCTTTCTGTAAATGAAAGAGCTGATTTGAATACTGTTGTCAGGAAGAGGTAGAAAGTGAGGTGGGGTAGAGCAGTGGTAGGAAGCATGAAAGGAACACACTTTAACATTCAATAGGAAGCCAAAGATGATTTTTTTTTAAATGAGGCAATTGGGGTTAAGTGACTTGCCCAGAGTCACACAGCTAGGAAGCATTATGTGTCTGAGGCCGATTTGAACTCAGGTCCTCCTGAATCCAGGGCCGGTATTCTATTCACTGTACCATCTAGCTGCCCCTAAAGATGATTTTCAGGCAGGTAAATTACATGGTTACAAATAAGCATCAGGAAGATTACTTTGCTAGCTTTATGAAAGGTGGATTGGAGAAGAAAAAGATGAAAGGCAAAGTAACTGATTAGGAAACCAAATCAATAGCTGAGGTGAAAATTGAACAAGGCTGCCGTCATGGGACTGGAGAGGACATGACTGGTACATGTGATACTGAGGAGGTAGACTTGACACACTTGAGAACCATGTGGTCCCCATCTTGAGAGGCTTACTATCTAGCTAGGGAGGGATGGAAAATCAGGAAACAAGAAACAGAGAACCATTAAGTGCTAACTTGTATTATATTAATGATAAGTACAATGATTGTTTAGAGAAGGGAAAATTCTAGGTGGGCTAGGTGTTCAGAGTTTCAGAAGAAGATGGGAATTGAGGATGAGTAGGCTGTATATGTAGAATACAGAAAGTAAGAGGTGGAAAACACAATGTAGAAGGATAACAGTGTAAATGGGTGTTTTCTGGTAGCAATAAGTAGATATGCTTGCATGGAGGAGTAGTTGTTACCTGGTAAATAGTGGCAGCTAAGATCAGATAGCTAAGGTCAAGCCAGCTAAATGAAGGGCCTGGAATGCCAGGAAATGGAATCTAGTCTTGAGGCAGATGCAACAGATTCGATATTAAGATTGTGACTGTTTAATACAGAGGCATCTATTACTGGTAAGCAGAACGGAGTATGTGAAGGAAGAGACTAGCAGAAGGGAAAGCCGTTAGGGAGGTATTAGTTAACTAGATATGTAGTAATAAGGGCTTAGACTGGGAGACCTCATTGTGAATAAAGACAAAGGAGTGAAGCAGAGAGAAATTTCAAAGGAAGAAATAACAGAAGATGGATTTAAAAAAACATAAGGAAGTAAATAAGAGGAAGGGGTTAGAAATGATTATAAGTTTTCTAGCTTTGGAGAGAAAGGGTTGGTAGAAAATAAAATAATTACTTCAAGAAAATAATAATAGTAACTTAAATTTCTATAGTACCTTGCAGTTTATAAAGCACTTTTCTTACAATAACCCTGTGAGATAAGTAGTATAGATATTATCAATAGCAGTATTAGGTATTTGATTGCTGTCACACAAGATTTCAAACACAGATCTCTTGACCCCCAGTCCAGAGGATCACAGACTTTAGAGCAGAAAGAGATATTAGAGGTCACCTAATCTAACCCTACATAATTAAAGAAACTAAGCCCCAGATAAGGCAAATTACTTGTTCAGATCAGGTAGAAAATGTCAGAGTTGGGATTTGAACCCAGGTACTCTGACTCCAAATCCAGAATTATTTTTTGCCTATACTATACTGCCTTAAGCTCAAGCTCCTAAACCTATAGTTTGCAGATGCTGTTACCTTCCCTTCCTCCTTTTTTTTTTTAAATGGATTTTCACTGTACTATGGAAGCAGCAGCAAAGTGATAAAGGGATTAAAGTGCTAGGCCTGGAATCAGGAAGACCTGAGATGTGTCATCAGATACTTGCTAGCTGTGTGATCTTGGGCAAGTCACTTAACCTATTTCTGCCTCAGTTTCCTCAACTGTAAAATGAGGAGAATAATAGCACTTATCTCACAGGGTTGCTGTGAGGGTCAAGTAAGATAATATGTATAAAGTGCTAACTGGCACATAATAAGAGCTAAATAATTACTTGTTTCCTTCCATCTTACTTCTGAACACCTGATCTTGAAGTGGCATTAAGATATCCAAGGAAAGATGTCCCATAAACATTTAAGAACAAAAGGTGAGTTTGTAGGCTCGATTAACCGACAACTGTTGACAGGATAATTGAAGCCCCCAAAGTGAAGAAGCTGGCTAAATAAATCTAGAGAGAAAAGATGAAGGTGTTGGTCATAGTCTTTGTAAATATGCACAGGGAATACTTCCACAGGGAAGGAAGGGTCAGAGATTGAACATAAGAACTGTGAAGAGGCAGTGTCATAGAAACCCAAGGGAGGAGAGTGTTTCAGGCTGGCCACCACAAAATACCACATGGAGATCAAAAAAGATAAAGGCTGAGAAAGGTCTTTAAAGAAAAGGAAATCACTGGTAATCTTGGAAGGCCATTTCAATAGAGTTAGGAACTCAAAATGGGGCACAAGGGGTTAACCATGCAAATATACATCATAATTTATTTATTTTGTAGCTGGATCTCCCTTCCTCTCATGCCTCTGGAATCTAAGATGGTGTGATTTAGAGAATCTAGGGTTATCAGAGTAGGAACTCCCCTGTCCATTTCATCAACTATGTTATACAGTTTTAATAGTTGTGAATCTACATCTCTTTTGTGTCAAGTCATAGTATTCTCTAAGGCTCCTCTCACTCTAGTCTAACACTGTTCTTGTCTGCTTCCCACAAGACTTTTTGTTTGTTTGTTTGTTTATTCCTTTAATCAATCATTCTTTTTGTCTAGGAATTTATCCTACTTTGCTACCCAAAGTAGCCCATCCGCTGTCATTTTGAACCTGTGGGAAGCTCGTCATCAACATGATGGTGACCTTGACTCCTTGGCCTGTGCCCTTGAAGAGATTGGGAGGACACACACAAAACTCTCAAACATTCCTGAAACTCAGCTTGAAGAGCCCGACTTCAGCTACAGCAGGCAAAATGGACTTTAGTCCATCTCCTCTCATGGACAGACCATTGGCCAGCTTTGGGACTTTTTTTATTAGGTGGGGAGGAAAGAGGTGGCTTTTAGCCCAATGGTATTTGGGAAAACTCAACTTCATATATAACCAGAGGGACATCCCTTGAAGAAACTGAAGGCTGTCTTGGTAAATCATGTTAATGTTAGGAAAGTCCAAGCTTGCATCCAAAAGGCCCCATCCTATCTGAGTTAATACTGTCTTAACTCTACCAATTCTGAATAGTTGAAGTGGGGGAAACACACACACACACACACACACACACACACACACACAATTGCCTTTAAACAGGCTCATATTTTTGGAATTGTTAATGGGTCCAAACATCAGGTGGCAACAAAGCAGACTTTGGATGTGTATGGTTTGAAAAAAGTTCATACAGTAACGATGTTCCCCAAGGGCCAAATTATTCTGATATCAATGTCAGGTTGTTGTTTTTTTTTAACCAATTGATATTTCCAACATGAGAAATGAGTATAAAACTGACCTTTATATATAACAATATTACCAGTCCATTTTTGTGATTTCAACCATATCACAAGCAGGAAATGGGAATTTAGAACTGAGAATCTAAGTAAGTCACACCAGCACCACCACCCAGCCTAGCCCGCATCCACTAGGATGTGCCTGGGTTGTCAGGAGGAATGAATAGGATGATTAATTAGTTAAATATACCCTATTGCCACTTCCTTCCAAAAGCTAAGACTCACTTCACTCCCTCCTACCATTCCCCCTCAATGCAGAAAAGTAAGGGACTGTTTCCAGGTGCATCCCTGACCACAATTAATCATCACTGCATGGTGACTTAGGATGATAGCCATTGCTTACAATATATAAAGAAAGGTCCCCAACCCCACCACCTCTACTCACAGCTGAGCCACACAAATTGTAGTAGAATCAAATCCGTTATAACGCAGCTGGGTATTGGATTTGGATGTGTCACAAGTCGGTTTCTTTTCCAGGAATCATAGCTCCATAAGCTGAAGGCCTCAAAAAGCTTGGTTAGTTTAAAAGATAGTGGGTGTTAGCCAGATCTCCCTAATACCACTGTAAGAAAATGGAGTTTTGCTATGGTTTTTTACGAAGTTTATTGAAACGTTTCTTGCATTTTTCTATCATTAAGAACCCTCCAGTAAAAACTCTGGGCCACTTTCTCCCCAGGAATTGTTTTTTAAAGAATCACCAGAATCATTAACTTTGAATAGTATCTGGTAAATCCTCCATTTAAGTCAACAGGTATTTATTTATTAGGTGCCTACTTAGTGCTAGGCACTGTGAATACAAAGATAAAAATGAAATATCACCTATCCTCAAAGGGGTCATCCTATAACACAAGCTATTACAATGTCCTCCATTCCTGTAAGTTTAATTATTTCTGGCAACACCATTATGGTGTAGCTAATTTTCAGTCATATGGGGGAAATAGTGGATTTATTTACCCCGAAAAATTTGAAATCCACAAGAAATTCAGGAACTTTATTTTAACCTCCTTTTCCATAAAACCTTTTTGACCAAAGCTTCATGCAAATAGTCAAATGGATTCTGTTTAGATTGACCTCTACTCCCTAACCATGCATGTGAGGAAGCATTACCCAGAAGAGTAACATTCTTCATAGACTTGATGACAGAAGAGGAGAGAAGGAGGAGGCAGAGACTTGAAAAGGCCACGAGTTGGATAAGCAGACCCTAACTCTCCTGAAGGACTTGGGTTATACCAACGACAGGTAGAAAGAGGAAATTTTACAATATCCAAAGAGATGAAAATAGCAACTATATAAATGTGTTAGTTTATCCAAAGAAGAAGCTTCCTGAACAATTATTAAAATGTGTAACCATCATTTTTTAGAGCCCTTTTAAAAAAAAAATCCAAAAATACTACCCCAAGGAAAATGGTCTAAAGGCTTGGAATTCATGACACCATGTCTAACATTGTCTGGTGCATATTGACTCCTGCATTGGCTTTGCTACATGAAATTCAGCAGCAGAAGGCTTTTCTCAGGTACTGAATGGATTATTGTACAGAACAGACAAATCCACTTAGAGCTGTCAAATCTGTTTTCTGAAATATTGTCGCTAGATCAGGAGAATGCCCTTTTCTTAATAGTCTGTTCAACATGCTTATCCCTTATAGGAAACAATGAAGAAGAATCCATGGGAGTATAAGTCATTTGACATCTCTGAAATAGTTTCTTGAAGAAGCAGCATTGGATAGAGTCAATCATCAAAACAAGTACAGAACTAATTTGAGAGGAGGGATTGGGGGAGAATTTGCAGAGCAGCTGTTTTTGGCTCCTCAGAGAAAAAAGACATTACCACTACTTCCTCCATCTTTTTTTCTGCCCTAAAGTAGGACACAGCATTTTCCTCTTCTCTCCTGAATGGCCTTCTAAGCATTTCATCCATTGATGTGAATTAAGATAGACCTTGAATGAATCTCAGCATTTTTAAAGAGTGTTCTTGTATTTTAAAACAGATCCAAAATTTAAACAAGGCTGATGAAAGTTTATTTGAAACATTTAAAGATAAAATGGGGCATTTTTACCCTCTGAATATTAACTCAATAGCTTTTTTTTTCCACCTGTGGCTTAAGCTCATAGACTCACCTGATAAAAACACAATACACTATTAAGATCAAGTCCAACTCTCTCATTTTCTGAATAAGGAAACTGAGGCTGAGAGGTTGAATTAAGACACACTTGACAATTTGAGGCAATACCAAAGAAAATGAAATCTTGTCTATCAATCAAATATTCAAACTAACCCTTTGACTCATTCTTTCTCTTTCCCCTTCTTTACATATTAATCTCCCTTCTTCTGATATCAAGTGCAGAAAAGGGTGAAGCTGAATTCTTGCTAAGTTTAGAGTCCTTCAACAATGTGGCAATGAATGTCTAATAAGAGAACTTGCAAGATTTACAGAGCAATGGGCTTTCAGGGCCAATCAGATAAAGCCTTAGATCATCATTTGAACCTTGGACTATTTAGCCCAACCTAAACCTCTGCATGGTCTTTGATGTTTGGCTGTCATTGCTCTGAGACTTGCCAAGCAAATGCCCCCCTTTAAAGAGATTTCACTTATCATCCTGAGACCTTACTTTGATAGACTGTTTTGCTCATCCTTTGTACTGGGATTATGCATGGGAGAGACAGAGAGAAGCAGAGACAGAGAAAAAGAGAGAGAGAGAATCAGAGAGAGAAAGAGAGAGGGAGAGCTCTTTAGTTTTTGGTGGTCTATTTAGAAAATGCCATGATGTGTCCTATCCCACCCCTTGCCATTTTGGGTCCTATGAGTAATTTAAGACTAATAGCTATACTTTCAAAATGACTTACAATTATGTCACCAAAATGGTATACTTCATAGCTTTGCCAGACTGCAGCACCATAAAATTAATTTATGATTTTTACAACATTGCTTGTGCAGTCTGACTAGTTTACATTAAAATCCTTTAAGCTGAAAGCAAGCTTGCTCTATAGATTTAAATGCAAACTTCATTTACCGGTGCATGAAGTCCTATAAAACTAGGATGTATTCCCACAAAAATTTTATTGGCCTTTTTGTAAGAGATGAGAAAGAATTGACACTGTTCTCTTTAAAGAGGGGGAACTTTTTTATTATTATTATTTTTATCTCCAAAAGCAGCTGTTATCCTTTGCTGTGGCCTATACATTTTTCTTTCAGGAATTTCTGAGAGAGACTATTAAGTTTAAATCACTAAAACAGGGGTTTTCTTTGGATTAAAATCTCTGGACTTGAAGACTTGAAGAACTTGTCTCTCTGAAAGATATTATCTTAAAAAAAAAAAGTAGAAAGACATGGCATATTCATTCTCTTTCACAAAGCTTTCTCCAGATGCCAAACTTCTAGCAAAGGTATCTATGAAGTTAGAAAATGTTGTGAAATATATCAGTGCAATGTTCTTTTTTCCCTTTTTAGTCATTTCTCTTTTCTGTCTATTAGTAGTGGGTCAAGCTGCCCTCTGTAAATGTCTTGAATAATATAGTTGATGGATACAGTAAAGGAAAAGTTCTCCCAGAGGCTTTTGTTCCAGCTAGAGCAAGTTCAAAAGAACTGCAGATGAGCTAGAAATGTGCCTCTTTGGCCTACTGTATGGCTTACTTTCATTATATTTTTCTTCATGTAACATTGCAAAATTCTGTCTTCTTAGTAGCTCCCATTGTCTTTATTAGAGATAACAGCAGCATAGAAATGGGAGAGCAAAATGTTGTCCTAACAATAGTGGCATTTAAAAAAAAATAGTAGCCCTTGGTGTTAGTTGCCATAACACTGTATTTGAAAATCAGTGCTTTTAGCTAAGAGCTGAATGGGAGCGGTTTCCACTGTTTTGTCCCTATAGAAGTTTCCAGAACAGCAAACAAAAGTGTATTTTGTCAACTGTCACAAAAGTGAAAATGTTAACTGATTTTAGATGTGTTTGCATTTTCTTTGTGTGTTTTTAATTTCCAAATGATTTTAAAAGCTGCAGTTTACCAAGCTGTTTGGGTGTATTAAACAGCATGTGGTGTTTTTGCAAGCAATTCTAGGTAGGCAAGGGTCCACCACATGGTTATATGGTCTTCTTACATCCCCACAACAGGACCTATCCCAATACGATGGCACAAGGAAAAGAGTTGGTTTTTTTTTCTATTAAAGAAAGGAAAGGGGATGGAAGACCAACCCTTGCCAATTAGTCACTAGTGTGTAGTGTTGTAATCTGAAGTAGGAAGTTCAATGCACATAGAGTAATTGTAGTGCTTTAAGCAGCTGCTTAACCTTTTTTTCCCTCTTGCTGTGAAGACCATGGATTTGGAATGTCTTCATGAGGTGGGCCTAGGAAGTGAACATCAAGCTTCATGTCTTAGAACCCACCCCCCATCTGAACCCAAAGATAAACACATGCAGAATGCTTCCTGGTTAGACCTGTACTTTTAGGAACATTTTTTCCCCTCTCTATTTAACAAATAAAATTGAAATCTAGAAAAAGTGGCTCAATGTGAACCAAACTACTGTCCCTAAAAGATGCAGCATTTAATGATGATGATAGCATCTTAAAGAAAAGCATGTCATTCTTTTCATGGATGGCTATGGTTTTATGTTAAAACTTGTTAAAATTGGAATAAAAAAAATATCCTTTTAACCTCTGTTTCCCAAGCCCTTTGACAATGGTCACAACATTTCAAGTGAGATTCAATATAACAACATTTTATCACAACAAAAGAAAATAGGACATTTCCTTGGAGTTTAACATGACTGGGTTTTAACTTCAGAATCCTACATCTTTAACGGTAGGGAGGAAGCATAGCGTTTCAGAGATGGGAAGTATGTCCAAGGTCATGTAGTCTGATTATTTCCAAGCAGGAAAAAATTTAATTCAATTCAATCTAATTCAATAAGCATTTGTTAAGCATCTTCTCTGTGCAAAGATGCTGGGAAAATAAAGCCAAAAAAAAAAAAAAAGATATATTCCCTGCCTTCTATATACCATCCTCTGTCCCGTATTTGAAGACTCCCTGTCTTGGCCAAGTTCTGTTGAAAGCAGGATAACTGACCATATGATCTCTTCGGGGTCTTCCCAGCTCTGTGATTTAAGAATGTAAGGGCAGTTTGTAGGCAAACTGTCATTCTCCAAGGCACATTTATCATGGCATGGCAAGAGAACAAAGCTGAGAATAGCTCCAAATGGTATTCTTCTTCTATTCTCTCTTCCTAAACAATTCTGATGGTAGACCATATGGCAAATTAGTGGCATTAACCAAGCCCCACACTGAGACTTCTCTTAGAGAATTAAGAACCAAAATCTTTACAACTTGCCATCCCTGCTTGGCCTTGCCACTGGCCCTCACATGCATCCAGGGACAGAGCAATATAGAAGAAGAATATACTCCAGGTAACCAAATTTCTGATCAAGAAATTCTCCTTGCCCTTTCCAAAAAGTAATCAAGCTCCTGCTTCCTCTCCTCCATATTTCATAATTGCATTTAATTGTTCTCTGGGGGGGATCTATGAAATGCCCCTCATACATACACACATACGTGTGTGAAATACAGAGGGAAACAGCATCTTATTCTCCTGACTCAAATATAAATAATGAAGCCAATTATTTTTCATTTTTTTCCATTTTGCTATTGAAGAGACCTCAGAAGGTGTTTTTTTGTTTGTTTTTGGTTTGTTTGTTTTGAGGGGGAATTGGTTTATTTTTCCCTTTTGGTAGTGGTGTGGTTGGAGTTGGTCTGCAGGCACTTTCTGAACAAATGATCAGATCTCCCTCCCCCACCCTATTCCCTGTTTCATTTATCTGTGTTAAGAGCTGGAAGAAAACAGAAACAACAAAGAGCTGGTTGAACACTTGGTTTGACATGAAGCTGAAGGAGCAAGCAAGTCAGAGAAGATAGTTTGAATAAAGCATGGCCTTGGCTTCATACCACACTTTCTGTGCCTTGTACTATCAATGTAAATTCTGAATGTTGTACAGTAAATACTTGGATGGACTCCTTAGAAAAGGCTGCACTGGCTTCTTTTTCAGCACATGTACATATATATAAATATATATATATATACATATATATATTTGGTAATGCCCAACAGCTGTGTTATATTGTATTGAAAAATGGACAGTTTGGATGTTTTATGTAGAGTTTGCAGAAATTGGATGGCTACAGACTTTTGAAGAAAAATGTACAGACATAAATTACGGCATATCGGTTATTTATGAATAAAGAGTCTTTTATTGACATCTTAGATTACTACATGAGTGGCACCTTGAAATCCTAATGAGGTTTCTTCTTCACAGGGCTAATGACACAAAATATTCATCCCTACAATAGCAATTTTCAATGAAGTATAAACATAAGTGTCCTGGACTCATAATGCCATTTCCCCTGTGCTACATCTTCAGAAAAAAATATGGGACAGAACAAGGAATATTAGCTTTCTCCACATTAAAAGAAGAAAGTAGGGAGTAGGTAGTTGAACAGATACTTGTGAGATCAAAAATTTGATAATTAATGCTGAAGAATATGAGAATCCTGATGACTGCACAACTCCCAGGTCCTTCAATTTGTTTCTCCCTGGAATACCTTGGGAACATTTTTCAGGTTTTAGACTTGGGAGCAATAACATTTTACTCTCTATTTGGAGGACGAAAAAGGAAACAAAAAGTTATATATTCCTTCCTCTATTCTCTGCCTTTAGATTGTAGGACAGCTCCTGACATTCCATTTGTCCTACTCCCAAGTCACCACTCTCAACTACTCACAGATAGTTGTATCTGCACATGTATATTAAGGGACTTTTGTTGTTTGTCCTTCTTCTCCAAGAGGACCATGACATCAGAAAGATGATGTCATGACTTGCAAGCAAATTGAATTTAAGTGAGGCAGAGATGTGCAAAGTCACCACACTCACTTTCTCCTCCAGAGCCATCTGGGTCCAGTGGCAGGATATGGTTCAGGACAACTAGAGATGTCCCAGGATGCAGTGAGAGATCTTGCCCTTCTTGCAGAAGGGAGATTAGAATTGCTCTGTGTGGCCTTAGAAGGCAGACCTATAACATAAGGGATAATTTCTTAAGAAGTAGAGTTGTTGCATTAGGAAGTATTAAGTCTTCCATCACTTCTTCAAGAAAAGACTAAATATATATGTGTATACATTGAACTTTGAATGTCCCTTCTGACTATGTAGTTCTCTGATACTGAGATTCTATGAGTCCACTTTAACACGTGGCCCAGAACTACAGAAATGGTTTACATTGACCACATTCAACCTGGGAGCCACTTTATAATCATATTCTTTTGGTGGCAAGATCCCATTCATAGTCTTTCCTAGGAATTATAGAATTTACTTTTATATTTTTGGCCAGGAATATCAGAATTTGATTCATATATAGGTATCCAAAACAAAAGGAAATGAAATGACCTTTAGCTTCCATGCAAACACTCAGAATTACATAACTTCAGATACAGGACAGCCTTTATTTAATCTGACCATCCTCCCCCCACCAAAAAAAAAAACAGATCTACACAACTTTGCCTGTTGCCTGTTATGAGCCTCACTTCTCCTACTCTATAGTTCTCTGGATTTATGGAACTGCCCTGGTTGTCTCCCATACCCCTGCAAGGTCAAATAAACATTTATTAAGTGACTATGTATGTCATGGAATTGTGCTAGGCATTGCAGAGACAAGAATGAAAAATAACAGTCCCAAACTGCAATCTGTTCATTTGTATAGAATTGATTTGGGATTCAATTTCACAGATTCATTTGTGTCTCTTAGCTTAGCACTGTTTAACTCCTGTTCTCTGGTACCACCTAAACCCTAGCTCCTGGCCTTCATGCCCTTATCGGTCAGGGTACCTATAGATATCCCAAAGTGAAGGCAGAAGTTCATCAAAAATAGAACCTACGTGAAGAAGACGGACATACTGGGACATCTATGATGTCCTCAAAGAGGATATTATCTCTACCTATGTAAATGACAAAGCATCCATGCCTGCCCAGACTGGGACTGATGGTACACAGTGGATAGAGCATTGGGCCCGGAGTCAGGAAAACCTGAGTTCAAATACAGCCTCACACAATGACTAGCTGAGCACCCCAGGGCATGTTACTTAACCTTCCTTGGCCTCAGTTTCCTCAACTATAAAATGGAGATTAAAAAATTGCACCTACCTCCAGGGTTGTAGAGAGAATCAAATGAGATAATAATTTTAAAATACACTTAGCAGTGCCTGGCATATAATAGGTACTATATAAATGCTTATTCCCTCCACCTTCCCCTTTTCCATGCACTCCCACAGTGAATACCACTGGGTATTCACCCAATGTGCCTGGGGTCTTTCTTGTTTTCTCATGACATTGCAAGGATATACAGGGAGGAAACTTGATACAGTAGAAAGAGCATAGTTTCTGGTATCAGAACACCTGGATTCACATAATAACTCTGATACTTATATCTATGTGACTTTTGGCAATCACTTAGCCCCTTTGGGCCTCAGTTTCCTTATTTGTAAATAAAGGGGGTTGGATAAAGTTACATGAGGACCATTGGAACACATGGGCTGTCTGTTCGTTATCCATTACTTTCAACATGTAGTAACCCCAACTTCTTTTTCAATTATAACTTTCTATGATGACATCCTGTATCCCAGTGGTTTCAAATTAAAATAGAAATGGGGGTCACTATTCCATACATAAGCATCCCTATGGGCAGCATATTGATAGTTTTAAAATGTAATGTTATCTATGTTTTATTATAGTTTTATTTATTTTGTTAAATATTTCCTAATTACATTTTAATTTAGTTCAGGATGTACTTGGAAGTGTTGGAGGCCCTGTTTCCCTTCCCCTCTACCGCCATCTCCCATGGAAAACTCTGGAGGGAAACAAATACTTCAAAAGCAAAAACATGGATAGTTGTTTAAATCTTCTTATCTCTGGAATTATGTTCATATTTACACCTAGTTCTTACATTTCACAAAGTCCTTTTGTCACAACGACACTGTTCCTGGTAGAGTCACAAAGTAATAGCGTTAAAGCTCAAAGTGATCTTAGTGGTTATCTAGTTAAACCCCTCATTTTAAGAGGTAAGACAACAGACTAAGAACGCTGATAGACTCATGGCTCCATAAAATCATTGAAGTAAATATAATCTCTGTTTTCCAAAAGACTCCACTAAAATTCTGCTCTGATATCCAGTTGTGGAATAGAGAAGATGCAGGGTCTTGGAGGCTATACCAGTGGAGCTCAGATTCTTGAAGAACCAGAAGCTGAAAAGATTTCAAATATAAACTCAATAATAGCCTACATGTTTATTCTCCTCCCCCAGCTAAATATGTAAAGGGTCATTAGCAGGTTGACCACAGCATAATGTTTGTTGTTATTATTTTATTTTGTTTGTTTACCAAGTACTCACAAACCATTTATGAAATTATAGTGAATCTTTATCAGAGGAGGGAAAAACTAAGAGAAACTCAGTTATCAAAGCTCAAAATAATGGAGCATTTATAGATGAGATAACAGAGACTTCAAGAATTTCAGTGGCTTAGAGTCGGGACTTAAATTAGGGTCTTCTAAATCAATGGTATCAAATTCAGTAGAAATGGATCCCTACAGGCCACATATTGACACTACAAGTAAATATTGTCTATGTTGTATTGCATTTTTATTTATTGTGTTAAACGTTACTCAATTATATTTTAATCTGATTCTGCTAAGTTTTGCAACCCCATGGGCCATGAGTTTGACACAGCTATGAATCTGGATCTAACTCTTTCTAAAATCCTCTTCCCATTACACCATCCAACCCTGAACCAAAATAATTAGAAAAATAAAAAGATGATCTCTCAATTCAACTAATTTTAGTGAGTTCTTATTAAACACAATTGAAATATTTATGGCTATATTTTTCACCACCACTGCAGCCGTCCAGTAGTTTATCTTGAAGCAGCGTCTTAACATTCTAGGGGATCTGGGCTTTTTCAGAGTGGTGTTTCCATCCAGGTGAGGGAGATGGGTGTGAATCTTTTTGAATAGTTATTATTCCTCCCAGTTGGAACCTGAAGAGAGCTGATACAGAATGATAGCAAAATCCTTTCTGGAGCTAGGATGGCAACTGGGCAACTGTTCTCAGAGACGCTCTCTTTGAGATAAACGGCTTTGCTGTCAGTGTCACTATCAAGTTTGACTGCTCAGGAGTCAGATTATAGCCCTGTAAAAGTGGAGCAGCCTTTAGTATTGTCACCCATGTCAGCCTTACGAGTAGAAGAGATTACAATGAAGACTCTCTCTTTTTTTTTTATAAGATACATTTAAAGAGTACTTCCCAAACCATTTGGTAGCATTTTATGTTAATGATACCAAGGCAGGTCCCCAAGAGAGAGTAACACAAATTTTCAATGAAGTTCCCAGAATGTCTTTAAAGAAAGTTTCAGAGGACACTCTTTTGGCTTCTTTAAATTGGCCAACAATTCTTTGGAGAGACAGAACTTTCGGGTTCAAATGCCAGCTCCTACAGGAGGCTTTCCCTGATCTTTCATCAGCAAAAGCTTATCTCTCAACTTACTGGGTCTTTATTTTGAAAATATTCTGCATATATAGCCATGTGTAACGTGCCATCTCTCCTAACAAAATGTAAGCTCCTTAAGGGCAGGTGCTATTTTTATCTCTGTCATCCTAGGTTCTAGCGTAATATCTGGCACATGGTAAATACTTAATTAATGCTGGCTACTTGATTGATTGAAACCAAGAAACATTGGCTTAACTCTGACCTCTGGATGAGAGCACAGGATCTTGAACAAATACCTTTACTTCTTTCAGCCCTCAGTTCCTTCCATTAAAATAGAATAGAATAATATTTGTTCTACCTGCTACAAAGGGTTGCTGTGAATTTAGCATTTTTTAAGTCTCAATGTAATACTCTAGGCTGGTAATGGTTGGGAGGTGTGGTGAGCAGGATTGTTCAACCACTCTGACTTGTACCCCTTAACCTACTACTGACCAATTGTTTAGAGCAGAAGTTCTCAACCTTTTTGGTCTTTGAAAACCTTTACGTCTTAAAAATTATTAAGGATGCCCTCAAAGAGTATCAACTTTTTGTTGATGCTCAACAAACCCTCAAACTTTTGTTTAGATTGGTTACATGATATTTATAATATTAGAAATTAAAACATCTTAGTATTATTAGGGTTGCTAGGTGGTATAGTGTACAGAGCACTGGCCTTGGAACCAGAACT